TATCAGCGTGCCACCAGGGTGACATGTTCTTTTTCTTTTCATTACTATGAAGTCTGAGACTGTGGTTTCTTTTGTGTCAGCCCAGCCTGGAGCTATTGACTGCACACCAAATCTGCAGTCGATGGTTGTCCCCAACAATTGGCCAGGAGTTTTAATAGTTTCTCAGGCTTTTCAGAGAATGAAAGACCAGTTTTTCAAAGTGTCAACGGACAACTTTTCCCTCCCTCTGCTCGCTTTGCAAAGATTGGATCATTTTCTCTTGTACCAGACTGTTAAGTAAGCAGGTTTGCCCACTTACTGATTAAACCGAATATCTCATTTGGATCCTCCCAAGTCTCAGCTCTCTACAATCATATGAATGCCTGTCTGAGGTTCACTGCTGTTTAATGTTTTGGTTTCTTTTCTATGTTTTTAACCTCCTGTTTTTATTCCATCACAGAGCTTCTAGTAACCACTAGTTCAGGCACCTGAGGAAAGCTACTTGTTGTAGCTGCAGAATCAAGGCTTCATTTTTCTGGGAAGTTTTCTACAAGTGGCAGACACAGCTGCATGAAAGAGAGGCTTACAGAGAACCAATCTACAGTAAATGCTGATGGTTGATTATTCTGTAGCCACTGGGCCGTGAACATTTATCACACAGTGAGAAGTTAAAGCAAAAACAAAACAAAAACGCTGAACACAGTGGTAGTAGTTTCGGGAGGGCGGACACTGTGGATTTTTGGTAATTTCAGGGGATTTTATGACTGTTCACCATGTCGACTGTTTTATGTCACAGAAGCCACTGAGCGGTCATGTGGGTGGTTTTCTTCGGAGTCTACTGTGGAAAATTTTAATATCCTGCCAGGTGCTTCAGTGAAGGACTGCAGTGGTTCTGCCAGCTCAGAGGTGCAAATGTGTGCAAGGTGAAACCTCCAGCGATCGCATGAAAACTTACCCACACAGTTGAGCAACAAGAAGAATATAGAAGCTAATAGTATGATTCAATTCAGCAGAATCACCAGAAAGGCAGCGAAGGAGTACACACGGTGCCCGATATTTACATTTTCAGAAACAAGGTTTTCAATTTTTTTTTTCTCTTGTTGTCACAAGAATATTTATGAAATATCCATCAGAGTGCTACCAAGCAACACAGATGTGTAAAGCACGGCCCAGTGATAAATAATCCAAAGCTTGCAGAGGATGAGGGAGACAGTGAGCGAGCACAAAAGCTATTCTGTTTTGCTCTCAAACAGAATTCAGACACCGTGGGTGAGGAAAATCAATCTAGTCAACCTAGAGAGCGCGCGAGAGCGAGGGGGAGAAGAAATGAGAACCGTGAGAGGCTTTGATTATTGTGATGGACTTAAGTCAGCTCTGCGAAAGCCACTTCATACATCTCCACTATTTATCAAATCAGAAATGCATTTGCTTCACATTTTCCTGCACTTGCGGCTGCTTGGAAGGCAAATTAGCAGAGGTGCCGGTCCCACAGATTTATAAAAAATGGACATTTTGATTAATAGATGCTTTTTTTTTCCTTTTTCTTTTGTTTTTAGTGAAGCCACAATTCAATCCAAAGGACACATAATTAATTGAATTGCAGCTGTCAAGATCTGGGGCTTCACTGAGTGAACAGAGCTGTCGAGGACAGATAGCCGCCCTCCGCAGCTCTGCCCGTCTTTCAGCGGCTCAGGAAAAACTCACAACAGTATTAACAGAAGATAACGCAGGATTTAGATGAGCGGCGCCCAGTTTTGTTTTGTTGTCATGTTTTTTCAGACCAAGCACCAGCCGCATCTAGAGGAGCCAGGCTCTGTATGCATGTATTCAGTCAAGCTTCCTCAAATCAAAGCAGGCAATTCTGTAATAATCTCAGAGGCCGTACTGTTCAGCATGCAGATGTAAAAGCACCGATAACCTTGAAAAATAAATACACACATCTGCTGTAACAGGAGACAGCTTATGATTACATACACTATAGATAATGATGCCTCTGTGTTCTGTAATGATGGGCCCATGTGTTGTGGTTGTGTGTGTGCAGGATAAATGAGAGACACACACTGGTAGGTTTGGACAACTTTTCTCCCTTAATCACCGAAATTATCATTTGAAAGCTGCATTTAGTATTTACTCAGGTTATCTTTGTCTAATGTTAAAATTTGCTTGATGATCTGAAACATGTAAGTGTGACAAATATAGCGTGATAAATGTAAGGGGTCGAACGCTTTCAGTTTCCTATTCAGACCCCTTAGTACCAACTGAACACTGTTTAAACAGCACAGGCTGAGTATTGTTGATGACTGTCGCCAGGAAGTCACGTCACAAAGCTCAAATTTTATTGCTTTCTTTAACCTTTATTTAACCAGGTTACTCCCACCAGGAGCCAAGATCTTTTTTTTCTTTAAAAACAAAGGAGACATGGCCAAGAGGGCAGCAAACAGATTGAATTAGCAACATTAAACTTTTTCTTCACCGGGAAACATACGTAACCTGATGTGTAGCTCTGGAGAAATGTAGCTACATGTCAGGTTGGCCTGTAAAAGGTTGTAATTCATTTCTTATGTTGGACTACTTACTACTATATATGTGAGCAAAACTTTGTCCTTATAAAAATTGTTGGAAATTATTAACTGCATCTCCTGACATAATACCCAGCTGTTTCGGGGGGTTAACCACACACAGAGAACATTAGGTCACACTAAAGGGCAGAAATGTACACTCTTGTTTCTCTTCAGATCGTATAAATCTTTCGCCTTTTACTAAAGATTTCCGTGGAAAGGAACAACGAGTTTTGCCCAATTTTTTTTTTTTCTATACTGTGTATTTTGTTGTACAGTTATTTTATTTTCAACTTTAATTTATATATTTTATCTTATTCTTTCCCAGTTAAATTTACCCTTCATTCTAATTTGTGCTGTACAGTTATTTCATTTTTAACTTTAATTTTTATATTTTATTTTATTCCTTCCTAGTTAAATTTATCCCTTTTTAATTTTCATATTTATTTCCTATCTTATTCATAGCCTTTTCTTTTTTTCTTTAGGTCATGAGCAGTTGTCTAAGCATTTCACTGCATATCGTACTGTGTATGACTGTGTATGTGACAAATAAAATTTGAATTTGAAATGTCATTGTATGAAAAGAATCAGAATATCTGAAATATGTAAAACTTTAAGATATGTTGTAAATATTTTTTTAAGGTGTGTTTTGTGGCAAAAAGCTATTTCAGTTTCAAAAAGAACAGATTCTTTGTGAAGTGTGACTTTCATAAAATTTAATGTGTTATCAGTATTTCAATTTTTTTTTTTTTTTTTTTTTTTTAAATTGACATAACATTCATGGATTTTATTTAATCTAAAAACATTTTTATAACTTCAGCTTTCCATTTATGAAGCTTATTTAAAAAAAGAAAAGTTTCAGTAACATCAATGTTATCAATTACCAGTGCGATTCATTAAAATTTAGTCACTTAAATTTATACATCCAGATTATAACAACCCATGCTGTTATAGTGACTCAATTCATTATATAATATATTTTTGCAATTGTAATTTTTATTACTAGCACTACTCCAGTGCTGAAGACTACTGAAGAATCTCCATGAACAGCTTCTGTCATTTGCACATCTGTCCTCAGATTAGTTACTGTAATAGATTCAAAAGATCAAACTGGCACTAATGCCAAAAACTGCTTTCCACAGGTGATCTTTAAAGAATCTTTTTTATTAAATAAGTACAAACAAGGTGTTACTGCACAGAGTTGTTTCCTAATAAATACCAGTATGACACTAATGAAGTGTTCAAGGTGTAAAGATCTCTGTTGGAACAAAAACATAAACGCGTGAGCATGAGCAACAGGAACACTACTTTGCATGTAAAACCAGCGTGTTATGTAACAAGGAGACAGTACAGTGGTGGAGGTCTTTCCTATAAGCTTGGCACTCTGGTGGTTTGATGATTAAGGAGCCCCAAACCACA